CTGCCAGATAGCTGTGTGGAACATTTAATTGATCTACAAGAAGATCAAATGCCACCTTGGAAAAAGATTTATGCCATGTCAACAAAAGAATTGGACATCTTACAGAAATATATCAAAGATAAACAACAACAAGAATGAATTTGACCTTCCACTAGTTCTGCGGGAGCACCTATACTCTTCATCAAGAAAGTCAATGGATCACTGCATGTTTGCATTGATTACAGGAGATTAAATGCAGCAACTATTAAAAATCATTACCCTCTACCCCAAATTGACAAATTACTTGATAGACTGAGTGGCACACAATGGCTAACCAAGCTGAATCTCTGTGATGCATACCAACATATATGAATACATCACAGCAATGAATGGAAGACAGCTTTTCATACTCAATATGATCATTTTGAATATACAGTCTTGTCATTTGGTCTCTGCAATGCACCAGCAACCTTTCAGGCATATATCAACAATGTTATGGGTAATCTCTTAGATGATCATGTTATTGTATACATCAACAACATACTTATTTTCTCTCAAACTGAAGAAGAGCATATTCAACACATTACCAAAGTCCTACAGCAGCTACATAGCCACAAGCTATACACTAAGTTATTGAAATGTGAATTCCATAAGAAAGAGGTGAAGTTCCTTGAATATATTGTTGGACGTGATGGAATTCATCTGGATGGTAGCTGTTTGGAAATGGCATTCAACTGGCCAGAACCTGGCTCTATACATGATATTCAGATGTTTCTAGGATTTACTGGTTTCTTTAAATGTTTTATATTTAATTATACTGGCAGCTTTGATTTGTAGTGAGTGTATCAAATATAAATCCTTCAGGTTCTTCGGCCCAGGGCCCAACAGGGCCTTTTGCAGTTGGCAGCATTTCTTTGAACAGTACATGTATGTTTCCATCAGCAAAATGCGGCGAGTCCAAGGCGTATGCGATATTCTTACACCAGCTTTGATTTTGTAATGAGCATATCAAATATAAATTCTTCAGGTTCTTCAGCCCAGGGCCCAACAGAGCTTTTCACTGTTGGCAGCATTTCTTTGAACAGTACATGTATGTTTCCATCAGCAAAATGTGGCAAGTCCAAGGTGTATCTGGTTCAGATAGATTGATTTTCAGAGGACTGTGAGTGCAACATCCCGCGCTCTGAGGCACCTTGATTTCACTATTCTCTTCAATAAATGAGCTCCTCCTAGTGCTTTGATCTCCAACTAAAACAATATTGGAAGGGGGGAGTTGTTTATTCTCAGTCCCAAGACATTGGAGGTCTTGGATTTTTCACACCATTGTTGTCATGCTTTTAAAGATCATATTGATAGAAGAATTTGGGTCTTCCATAGGTTAAGGATCTTCTGGGATTCAGTGTTGCAAGTTGCACCCATTTAATGACAACTTTCAGGATTGGTAGTGGCCAGACAGGCCAACTGGTGGGCGGAATCCCAGGATTGAAATCAGGTCATATGAGATTATGAATGGTAGGTAGTTAGTTAACCAGTTTGCTCAGAGTGACAGATGGAAGTCTGAAGAAAAAAGTTATTCCAATTGAACATCAGAGAATCAGCCCACTAGGGACCAACCTGCTATATTATCCCCAACAACTTTTAGTAGATCTTTGCCTTCTGTACACGGGAAATTATATTCACCAGGCATTATCTCAACATGCTGGTCTTCATTGTCAGTTGCAGTATTGTTGTAGTTATTTGTCAAAATATGTATAGTTTATCAATTATCCAACTGTAGGTTCACCTTATTTGTTGTAGAATCTGCCTCAATAGCCCTTCAATTGGGAACTGTTATTGGTTTTTTTAATTTTTTTTTCTTTTTTTTTAATGAAGAGAGAGAAAGGAAAAAGAAAGGGAAACACCAGGGTGAGAGAAAGGTTATATAGCTTTGAAGATCACTTCTTGTGATCTGCTCTGTAGAGTTGATTTTATATGGTGTGAATCCAACTGAATTGCATTGTATAGTGAGGTGCTCAGCAAGGTGAATTTGTATAGTGAATTGCACTGTAAAGTGAGATGCCCCATATATTGAATTTGTGCTATAGGTGAAGTGCTTGTAAGGTGAAGTCTTGACTTTGTTGAAAATAAGCTGTAAGGCCACTAAAGAGTGAATTTCAAATGCACTCTCAAATTGTCAGTTGCTGTAAAAAGGATTCCAATATAAGAATTTAACAGTTGAAAGAGACCACACTCATAACTATCAGGCTAGTGGGTTTGAACTAGTTGAGAGAGCAATATCAGGCCCACATTCACAGGCTGGCAGGGCTGAAGATTTGATGCTTGAAGAGGGAACAAATTTATTGAGACCTTTGACAGGTGTAACAACAATGGAAAAAGGCAGCTCTTTTGAAATATCTTGAGGCTACAAGTGGGATCTATGCCACTGAAAAAGGGAAGGTCAAATATGTAGCAGCTAGGTTGTGAGACAATCCCCAGGTTCCATGAGACTTGGAAAGGGAACATATTGATTGGAACATGTTCACCTTCAATGATCTTAAAACAAAATTATTGGATTGGCTTGAAGCACCAGAGAATCGCGGGTGTACAGCAGCTAGAAGGATGACAGCTCTCACTTTTGAGCAGAACAATCAATTTCTGATTTTGAACAGAAATTTATGGAATGTTGACATGATTTTGAAATGACCCCTATGGAGTGTCAACATCAGCAATTGTGGATCTATCAAGCATTAGTCAAATTACCTACTTGAATTCAATATAAGATTCAAGAGCAAGGAGTTTCTGATATTCTTTAAAAGTTGTTTTCCATGGCTGCTCACTATGAGAAAGCTGCTGGGTATCAGGAAACTAGCTGCAGAACACCTGGGACCCCCATATCTGATATCATAGAAAGTTGAAAACACTGTGATTGAGACAAGAAAAGAAAAAGAACAGAAGAGCATCCCCACAAACAATCAACTAAGAAACAGTGATTTACTCATTCTTATACTGACTCTGACCAAAAGGAACAACAAAAACAAGAGAAATGTTGCTTTAATTGTAATCAACAAGATCATATGGTGAAGACCTGTCTCAAGCAAAAAACCAGTGATCAATTGGTTAAGAAGCAGCAACCTCTTCATGGGAAGATCAATCCTCCACCTAGTGTCAATTATATTCTGGAAGAAATTTGAGAAATGGAGGAATTGCAGAAAGAACCTATGAAACCAGAGAGTGAATCTATGTCAGCAGAGAGCTTGCAGAAATATAGCAGCAAATGACTAGCTGGTGCTGTTCAGAATGTAAACCAATTATTGCTACAATAAAATTAGAAAAATATCCCTTGTTGAACCATGTTCTCATTAATTCAAACAATTTTGTTGAGTGTGTTGTGTATAGAAAGCTGCTACAAAGCAGCTGGGAACCACCCAATTCACTGCAAAAACTGAAATTAGCTGATGGATTGAATACTGTTTGTTATGGAGAGATTGCTCTTACCTGCAAGCTCAAGAACTCAGAAGAAATGGAAAAGACAATTAATTGAATGTTTAAAGTCATGAATCTTTCAACATATGATATGTTACTAGACCTACCTTGATTAGTGGAGACAAATCCCATTATTGATTGGTCTGCTGGCTCTTGGTGATATCACAGCAAGAAACCAGCCAAACTCCAAATTGAAAACCCACATCATTTTTTGAAGACCTCTCAACATGAAGTTGTTTACATGCTTTTAGCTGAACACAAATCCAAAAACACCATGCTCAGCCTTCCTGAACATTATCAACAATACACAGAAGTCTTCTCAACAGAAGCAGCTAGCAAGCTGCCAGATAGCTGTATGGAACATTCAATTGACCTACAAGAAGATCAAATGCCACCTTGAAAAAAGATTTATGCCATGTCAACAAAAGAATTGGATATCTTACAAAAATATATTGAAGACAAACAACAACAAGAGTGGATTCAACCTTCCACTAGTCCTGTGGAAGCACCTATACTCTTCATTAAAAAAGCAGATGGGTTGCTGTGACTTTGCATTGATTATAGGGGGTTAAATACAGTAACTATTAAAAATCACTACCTCCTACCCCAAATTGATGAACTACTTGATAGACTGAGTGGCACACAATGGCTAACTAAGCTGGATCTCTGTGATGCATACCAACATATACAGATATGTTGTGGCAATGAATGGAAGACAGCTTTTCATACTCAATATGGCCATTTCAAATATACAGTCTTGCTGTTTGGTCTCTGCAATGCACTGGCAACCTTCCAGGCATATATCAACAACATTATGAGTAATCTTCTAGATGACCACATTATCATATACATCAACAACATACTTATTTTCTCTCAAACTGAAGAAGAACATATTCAACACATTACCAAAGTCCTACAGCAGCTACATAGCCACAAGCTATATGCTAAGTTGTCAAAATGCAAATTCCATAAGGAAGAGGTGAAATTCCTCAGCTATATCATTGGACATGATGGAATTCATTTGGATGAAAGCCACTTGAAAATGGTATTTAACTGGCCAGAACCTGGGTCTATACATGATATTCAAATGTTTTTGGGATTTACTGGCTTCTTTAGGTGTTTTATATTTAACTATGCTGGTATTACTGCTCCATTAACTGAATTATTGAAGAAACAAAATAGACCCTTTGAGTTAATGATGAGAGTGCAGCAAGCTTTCAGAGACCTTAAAGATGCTTTTGGTGCTCCCCCATTATTGACTCATTTTTGATGAAGACAAAGATATCTTGGTGATTACTGATGCCTCAGATTATGCAATCACAGCAATATTGCTGCAATCTAGCAGCAAACAAGAACAGAGATGACAATGCAATTGGCATCCTGTGGCCTTTTATTCCTGCAAGATGAATGACACTGAGTGAAGATATGAGATTCATGATCAGGAGCTTTTAGCAATTATGGAATGCTTTAAGCATTGGCACCACTACCTGAAAGGTAGCAGGCAGCCATTTTGTGTACAAACCAATCACAACAATCTTTGATATTTTTTTCAAACCAAAATGCTGAATAGCAGACAGGCTAGATGGGTGGAGAACCTTGCAGCATATGATTTTACATTGGAGCATAGGCTGGGAGCTTGCAATCCAGCAGATGCTCCATCACAGCAACCTGATTATAAGCTGACAGATATGCAAGAACATCAGATGGACATGTTACCTATCTTACAGTGCAAACTGGCACTAGAAATTGTCAAGTCAGAGAATCCCTACAAGAAACCTGCTGATTTGTGGCAAGAGGCCAGACCAGGGGCAGGAACAAGCTGTCTGGAAAGCTTGATTCCTAGAATCATAGTCATTGAGGCACAAGAAGATGAGAATGTTTATGGCTCAGTCTCAGGAAGCATGGGTGGTCTGCTCTGTAAGCTCCAGAATGGGGATGCCTGGTCTGCTGAGCTGTGTGTGGTTTTGAATTCCTCTACTGAGTCAGCATTCTATTGGCAAGCAGGCTGACACCTCTTGGAGGATGATCAGCTGCTTATGCATGATTTGAGAATATATGTGCCTTGAGACCCAGCAGTTAGGCAAGAGCTGCTGAGGAGCCATCATGATAACATGTGGATTGACCATAATGACATCCAAAAGATATTAGAGCTTCTACAACACAAATATTATTGAAATTGAATGGCAAAAGACATGAAGAAGTATGTTAGCTCCTGCTATGCATGTAACTTGACAAAACCTCACCACCATAAGCCTTATGGGAAGCTAGCAAGCTTGCTCATAGCAACAAGTTCTTGAAGACACATAGCCATGAACTTTGTCATAGAACTTCCACCCTCACTGCTAGATGGCAGAGTGTTTGATGCTATCTTGACAATAGTGAATAGATTTTTAAAGATGATTAAGTACATTTCTGTTACTGAAGATATTAAGGCACCTGAACTAGCCAATCTTTTCATTAGACATGTTGTGAGCCAATACAGATGCCTGGAATCTATTTTATCTGACTGCAGATCACTGTTTACTAGCTGCTATTGAATGGAGATGTGTCATCATCTCTCCATCAAATGAAATTTCAGCATCACTTATCATCCACAAACCAACAGTCAAACTGAATGGCTGAACCAGATTCTCAAACAATATATTTGCTTATATGTTAATTACTGACAAGACAATTGGATCCAGCTGCTACCTACTACTGAGTTTGCATATAACAACAGTCAGAACATATCAACAGGTAAAACCCCATTTGAACTTGTTCTAATCTTTGAACTTCAGTTATCTGTTGGCCTGCAGACTGATCCACCATTTAACCTGCCAGAAGTCATTAAAGAAATCAAGCAAATCCAACAAACCTGCAAGCAAGCCATTCAATTGCTGCAAACTGCAGTTGACATGCAAGCCAAATATTACAATCAGCATCATAAACCAATACAATATCAAGTAGGAGATTGTGTTCTACTCAATCAAAAAAATATAAAGACCCTAAGACCTTCTCCTAAACTAGATAATTGATTCTTAAAATCTTTTGAGATTATAGTCATACAAGAAAAGCAAGCCTACATGTTGAGACTTCTGAAGTCATATGGATGAATCAATCCAACCTTTCATGTTTCACTGCTGGGGCCCTATCAGGAACATGTTGGTGACTGACCAGCAACTCCACAGCCAGTATTGATTGATGATGAAGAAGAATGGGAAGTGAAGACCATTCTCAATAAACACATTTGCTGTTCAAAAACTGAATATCTAGTTAAATGGAAAGGCTTTTCTTCCTATGAAAATCAATGGATAAAAGCAAAAGACCTTCCAAATTGCAATGAACTTATTGCAGAATTCAAACAGCTACCCAAAGTCCCAATTAAGAAGCACTGCTGCAACTTTGCTATGCAATAACTGCTCCATAGCTGCTAGCAGCTAACAAAGAGAGAAAAGAAATACAGCCTATGAGAAATTTACAATGAAAGAGCAGAAGAAAACATTTTCATTCAAGGTCTGAAGGCTGACAAAAAAAATTAAAGATTTAAAGTCTGAAGACTGACAAACAAACTGAAAACATGACAAACTGACAAGGGACTGGCAACCTATCAACAACTAGTTGTTGCCTTCAATGAGTCTCACTGACTTCCTTTCTTCCTCTAAAACTTCAGCCTCAATCCCAGACAATTTGAGGGACTGGGTGATGTTGTTAGACATCACCCATAGTGTTCTCTCCAGTCACAAGAGGGAGGCAAGGACGGCGCGGGGTTTTGGTTTGGGGGTGGTGGTGGCAGAGGTGGGGGCAACAGGGGCAGCAGCAGGGGTGTAATGTGGTGTGGTCTGAAAGACACCTGTCTTATGAAAAAAGGTATTGATTGCCAAGATCCCCCTCTGCAAGTGAGGAAGGATCTCTGAAGTCAGATAATTGTCAGTAGCTAGCTGGCACATCACTGTGATCTTGTTGTGAAGAGTGGGGGGGACTGCCACACACACTTTCCCATGCGCATGATACTGGGAGCACTTGTCAAATGTGGCAGGAAACAAACAAATCATAGTGCAATCTTGCACTAGATACTTGACACACTGCATGCACATGGCAGTTTGGGTGCTGACCTGCTGTGAGCTGTCAGTGAGGTTTAGAAAGAAAAAACTTGACAAGTTTTTCTGAAATCTTTAGAAAGCACTTATGAAAGCAGCAGAAACAGTCAAATTGGCTGCATCTGCAGCCATTTCATCTCCCAAATTCTATCCTCTGGTTAGCTGCTGTTACCTAACTGCTAGGTACTGGTGACTTACAGAAGACACATTGTGACTGGGCCCTCTGGAGCTGATAGCTGCAACAGAAGAGTCTTGTGGGTGAGAACTGAGGGACAGAACAGGAGGCTGGTCAAAAATCTGTTAGATTGCTGCTAACTAACTTCCTCCATGTGTATAAGAGCTTATGGGGGACAGAGAATGAGCAGAAGTGGCTGGGTGCTCCAGAGCAGCCAAAGTGGTGGTTGCAGCCATAGCCACAACATGAGCACACTTCTTCACTGCTGAAGCAGCTGCAGCACCACTCAGCTGTTTAGGGGCCATCTAGCAGTGAGATTGATGTGTTAGCTTGATCAGATTCAATAAGAATGCCCCAAATCTGGAAATGCCTACAACAGAAGCACAAAAAAATCTGAATTCAAATCAAAAGAACTACTAACCCTACTATTATTAACAAAATCACTGTATACAGGTCTCATTTCACTTACAAACAGAAGAGAAGCTGGTGGCTTGCAGGGGATCTACCACTATCTATCAGCAATCTGTCCAACAGTCAACAGAGATCTCCAGCACTTACTGCTTCTAGAATTCAAATGCTCTAAGAAAGAAAAAGAAAAGAAGAAGGGAATAAACTCATCTCCATCAATCTTTATAATCTCTATACAACACAAACCTGGAAGCTTCTGATTGATCAATGGCTTAGCTTACAAAACAAAATGTTCCTGGTTCACATGATCTGCTAGGAAACAACTGTTGGAATGAGAGCCTTTGAATCTCATGTGAGTCCTTCAGAAATCTGAGAATGTGTTCCCCTAAGAGGAGGATAATTGTAAGAACACCACTAGTGAGGAGCAGCTACCTAGCTGCCACCCAGCAGGTAATATCTATGACAGCACTGTGGCAAGGTGTTGCCACTTCAAAGATATAAGCAGGGGACTGCCTTGCCCACTTGAAAGAGAGCAAGTGATTTGTTTACTATCTATCTACTATTTACTATTAGGAATCTATCCTACAATCTATATATTATTATATACATTTTGGATGTACATTGTTATTACTTAGATCAATAGTAATAACCTCTATCTAGCCTCTAGCCAGCCACTAGTTACCAGTACTCTTGTAGTTCCACCCCAATATCAAGAAGATGTCTAGTCCCTGGCTATAGCCAAGCTAGTTGTTACAAAACAGGAGATTGAGAAAATCAATGTACTTTGTCAATTCATATGTGAAGTGAAGAGCCTCACACTGGGCTGATAGCTACAACCTCAATTCATTTGATCTTGAAGTTCTTCCTGAAGTTTATATCTTGCCACTGTCTGAATGTCTCACTGCTGACAAGATACTTCATTTCATCTACCTGACAATTGAATTCTCATCCTAAAGCAAACTGTTAGCAAGTGACTGTCATCTGTATATGCTGATAGAAAATACTTCAGTTTATCCTTCTTATAGACCATTGCTTTGTCCTTATAGTCCACAGGTGTTTGTTGCTGGAGAATTGGCTCATTTTCATCACAATTGTTTGTCCAGACCCAATTCCAGTCTGTGCCATAGTGGGTCACTTGCCTTTCAAGATATTCAGTTTCCCTAGCAGTCCAGTGCTTTCTCCATCAACAAGTCACTCTTTCCCCAGTCATATGAATCTCTCTCATGGCAGTCACAACATGTCTCTCAAAATTATCATAGAAGATAATGTTCTTCTGATCAGATGAGGCTTCTAACAATTCTGAACCTTCTTCTTCCTGCATCATGAACTGCTGTTCTTCTGGTTCCTCCATTGAAATCTCTTCCATTATTGATGGCTCTGTTCCCACATCTGGCAATCTTCTTCCAATTGAGCTATTACAGTCAGTTTGTTCAAATTGGTGAAGCTGAATTGAAAAACATTCCTCATGTTCCCTATTCACATGATCTTCATTGCAATAATTTGACAATTAATCAACACTCAAGTGATGAGCCGTCCACCTCACATGTGTACCCATTGAAGTTGCATCTTGGATGTGTTGGGAGGTCTTTGGAGAGAGCCCCTCATCAAACACATAGTTGGCATCATGGTCTGCATTGGAATCAACACTTGAGTGATGAGCTGTCTGTCTTACATGTGTACTCATTGAAGTTGCATCTCAGGTGCACCAGGGGGTCTTTGGAGAGAGCTTCTCATTCCTCACATAGTTGGCATTGTCAAAATCATCATCATCAAATATTGATTCTAACAGTGAATCAAAAATATGATCATGTGGCTGCCTTGCATCTGTACTCATTGAAGTTGCATCCTGGGTGCACTGGGGGTTCTTTGGAGAGAGCCTCTCATTCCTCACATAATTGGCATTGTTATCATCATCATCATTGTCATCAGATATTGATTCTAACAGTGATCCAGA